CCGAAGACTTTAAATATTTTAGTATTTAAAGTCTTTTTATAAACTGGTAAAAAACATATGGAACTTCCACAACTAATTAAACCTGAAGCATGCCCGTGAATGGAAAAAATCAAACTTGCCAAGCTTGATCAAAACATGATCTTTCCAACTGCAGACCATATAAACCCAATATATTGCTTGAAACCTTTGCTATATTCCCTCTATTCTATTTTTATGCCTTTTAGCAGCAGTAGCCAAATGTGTTTGGGACCTTTGTTGTTTTAGCATAAGGCATGATAGCTAAAAAATTCTGTGACACTGAACAGCCATAGAAGTCCTTCTTTTAATTAAAGCAAAAGAGGATGCTAGAGGTAAATTGAAAAGCCATTAGGCCTCCATATGTACTATGCCACCTATCATACAGCATACATGTATTTTGTGGTTTATTTATGTGTTGCCCTTTCTTTGTGTATGGAGAAGGAAAAGGTTCAAGGCCAGCCTCTCGGTCTGCTGCCTGTAATTTGACAAATTTGGCAAGGCTGCCAGTGTTTACTTAATACCCTGGCAAGTGCTAAGCAACAGAGGCCCTGGAGAGTGCTCATGCCCCACTGTGACTTGCTTGAGAAGTTTTTGTGGCATTCAGTCAAACTCTACAGGTCATCACACTTGTCCACCCAGCTGAACAGTCGCACTAGAGAGTGGTGCTAGGAAAGGAGTGAAGAATAAGTGATAATAAACACTATCTACAGGGAGAAGTGGAACAACCTTGGTCATACAATGAGAGTAAAATTGAAATATACTCTTGGGAGGACAGAGGGAGACTAAAGAATGGTGGAACATTATTTAAAATTGGAAGATTCATTCATGTACTGTTCCTGATTCATCTTCCACTTGGATTATTGCTTGAATATGTGAATTTGAAGGTTTTTATTTTAAAACACAAAATCAACTTTAAGTATCAAAACAGCTGCTAAAATATGACTATAATTTGTTTTGAACTATGTTTGCTATTTTGCCATGGGAAGGAGGAGGAGTATATTCCAAAATATTTGTTGACTCATACAATTTTTCATTGAATTTTGAGAAGATTTTTTTTATTATTCTGGGTGTTTTTTGTGGTTTAGTGGTGTAGTTTTTGTTTATAATTTGATTTCTGAAGAATGAGGCAATGCTGACACCTCCATGATTCTACAGGAGAAAATTGAGGGACCTGGCTACTTCAAGATGTACTTATTTAAAAATAGTGCTGCTCCAGAAGTGTCTTGAATAACCAGTTTAAACCCTTGATTAGTAAAAATTGGATCATCTAATTATATGAATTTGTCCTTAGAGAAGTTTGGAGATAGAACTATGTATACAAGGTTTTACTTGTTTATTTGTATAGCTAGGAATAAAGGCAAGATTTCATTACTCACTGCATTTCCCCCAAGCTGCTTCTTGACAACTGTCAGAAAGGGCAGCTGGCAAAAAACCCCATGAAAACCTGGAAAAACTTTAGAAACCTACATCATCTACAGCTTACACTCATTTTCTGCAGGTCGTATTTTCCACATATACATCTATTTGGGCTCTAGCTTAGAAACTTAAAAAATTAGGTACAAAGAGATTATTGTGATACAGAATTAAATCTTAAAAGTGAACTTTATTGATATTTAAACTAAATTGTCTTCCCCACAGCCTAAATGAGTTTCCAAGCCAGTAGCCTGGACAAAGTAAGCCACTGTAGAGGATATTTTGATGAGGATAGTAGTATTGTCTTTTCATAGTAGTTATCTATATGCTTCCACTGACTAAACCAGAAGACAGTGATAAGGTAACTTTTTACAAAAAGCTGAAGTAGAGCCATAGTAAAGCCTGAGAGTTCTTATGCTACTACCATCTTATGGAGACTGCTGTGAAGCACTTTTTTTTTTTTTTTTGGTCCTACTAGTTTTTCCTGTGAGCAGAAATAAGAGAGAAACTGTACATTAACAGGAATAAAGAAATTGTACAAATGCCTATAGGAGGTTATCTTTGATTAGATTTTTAACCGTAGGATCCTAGAGTATGTAACCATGACCTCATTCTCCAGGAAGAAGGTAGGGAACTCAAGTTACAGATAAACAATTCATTTTTGACTGTGACTGAGTTTGAAGCTTGAAGTTTGATTTGGATGTGGGAAGGTCTACTTTATTAAAAAATAGATGCCATACATTCTCTTCTTTCTCAGATTAATACACTGCAAAACCACAAAGCAATAGAGGCAACCCT